CTTATATATTAAGTAGGGGAGAGGTGACATCTTAACATTATTAAATCTTCCAATTAATGAGCAAGGTATAGCTACATTTACTTCGACATTTATTTTCTCTCAGCAATTTTTTGGAGTTATCAGTGTAGAGGTTTTTGCACATTTTTTCAGCATTATGCATAAATATATTTTTGATGCCACGGTAAGTGGTATTTATGGTATTTTACTTCCTCATTGTTCATCTAGAGCATACAGTTGATTTTTTGTATTTTGATCTGATATCCTGTAACCATGTTAAACTTACTAATTTTTGAAGATTTCATCAGATTTTCTACATAGATCATTTTGTTTCTTTATTAAAAATTTTATTTTTCTTCCTTTCCAGTTTGAATTGTTTCTGTTTCTTTTCCTTGACTTTTGCACTGGTTAGGACTTCCAGTAAGTACATTATTGAAAAGAAGTAATGAGAGCAGACAGACTTATCTTGTTCCTTATCACAGGGGGGAAGCAAGCAATCTTTACCAATAGGTATGATGTTAGCTGTAGGTTTTTCATTGATGCATTTTATCAGGTTAAGAAAGTTTCTATTTCAAGTTTCAGGTTAAAAAAAGTCTGGAATGGATGTTGGATTTTGCAGAGTCAAAGAAGGAATCTCATAGACACAAAAGGGTGAAGTGAAAGTTTAAGTGAAGGCCAAGTAAAGAGAAAGCTCTCTAGCGTGAGAGGGGTCCTGAATGGGTTGCCACTGAAGGTTTTTAGGACTGATCGTTTATTGAAAACTTGACCAGTATGCTTGTGACCTTGAGATTCTTGTGCCATCTGGTTTGAGCAAGGACTATTGATAACATCCTTAACGATTTATTTCTATGAGGTCTGGTCGTTTTTCTGTGATTACAATGTAGCTGCCAAAGAAAAACACTCCCTAACATCTGGGACCAGGTGGCCTGGTCTATTCCCTTATCTCTTGTCCATTCTGTCTTAGCGTTTTTGCCTGCCAGGAATAGTTTCTGAGCATAGTCAGGGATCTCCCCACTTCTCCCTGACTATCCCTTCGCCCTTTCCTTACTCAGCATGATGAAATCTCTGACTTTAATTGTGCATTTGTCTATTTCTCCTTGGAGTCCTATCAGTTTTTTGTTTTATGTATTTTGTTCCTCTCTTGTCAGGTCTGTAGATGTTTAGGATTGTTATGTCTTCTTAATCAATGGCTTATTTATCATTATGAAATAACCCATTTTATCCCTGGTAATAGCCTTTACTCAAAAATCTAGATTTTCTGTAATTAATGTAAAATTAATATAAAACCTAAAGCTTTCTTTTGACTAGTGTTGGCATGGCAGCTCTTTTTTCATCTATTAGGAGACAATTTTCCATGGATCTCTTATATTTTTGAACTTTTGAAGAAAAGTTAACATTTACTTAATAAGCATTTATTATTGTGTGCAGAAACACAAATGTTTTCTGTCTTTTAAACAAGTATATCTCAATATATAGAAAGTTTATGTTACATATAAGTATATTGGACCCATGTATATGAATAAATGTCTTCTATATAACTCTGAAAATTAGAAAATGCTGGAGTCAAGGGGAAATTGCACTTCTTGTCAAAATTTAAATTGTCCCAGATCCTTGCAATGACCACAATATCAATTGAATATAAATTGAAATATTTTTAAGATTAGCAAATTAATCTCCTCTGCTTATGATGTAGGTGCCTTTTGAACTGCTGCTTTTGCTCTGGGTACTGAGGGGGTGACAAGTATATTCGTGCACAAGCCCTTTAAGAGTGGATTTCCTGTTCTATATTTATAATGGTTCTCCTGGAAGTAAACTTTGGTTTTCATGGCCAGACATTTTAGGGATGTGTGTCTCTACTACAGGTCTCAAGAGTTGTGGTGCCTGGTATGGGGCACAAATCCCCCCTCTCTCCTCAGGGACAAGCGATATATTATGAGATCTCTCCTAATTGTGGGTCTTTTGGGCCTGGGGTGGGGTTTCTTTCAAGACTTGGTCTCATCCTCTTCTACCTGTCTCAGTGTGGCCCTTTTCTCTCCTGTTTAGCTAGCTTTCAAAGGCCTTTGCAGAGGGAAATTTTCCAGATGTAGCTCTAGATGTGTTTGGGGGAAGAGGTGAGCTCAGGATCCTTCTATGCCTCAATCTTGAGCCATCTTCCATTTTTGCAGTTCTCGTTTCAGCTTTTGTTCTGGACTCGTTATTTGAATATTCATATAGCAAACCAAACAGCCATTATTAAAAAATTAAATTATATCAAGTTGGTATTTTAAAATATTAAAACACTTTACTTCGGGCAATAAAACTTTATTTGGAAATTTTAAAATCAATAGCCTTCATTTTTTTAAAAGAAGAAATTAATTATTTTAAGTCAAACTATCAAAAAACTCTACCTTGTAGAATTGCATATGAAAGCAGTGCAGGGAAACTGATGGCAAGAGACTAGCTTATGTGGCATGATTCAAACTTCTTAGTGCGTTTTAATTTTAAAACCGCGAAGCCGCTGCAGAATTCCGTGGGAACTTCGAGTCTGGTAAAGGACTCTCCAAAACACTGGGCTGAAAATAACTTTTCGACAGCGGCAGATGAGCGGCTGGGGCTCAGGTTTTGCAGGGGAAGCCCAAGGTCTCAAAGCACCGAAGAGGCACGTGTTTTACTTCTTTAGGCCAGATGTCTAAAAGAATCTCACTTGTGCAGCGTCCTGGAGGGAATTACACAGACCTGGGGAGCAAGAAAGAGGGCGCGGTCTGGATGGACCTGGCTACTTTTCAGCCTTCCACATTTGTTGAAATTCCTCTCGCTTTCAATTCCAGGAAAGACTCAGCTCAAACGCCGGGTCCTGGAGCTAGCTGCGCGGGTCTCGGGGGCGCTGGCGGGGGCGCGCGCGGCGGCGTAGGGGGCGCGCGGCGGGGGCGCGCGGCTGGGGGTCGTGGGAGACGCTGTGTCAACCGCCCACAGCGCGGCTCTGCGTCCGACCCCGGTCGTTGCTGCAGCCTCAGGGCGCGGACGCCGGGCTTCTCCGCCCAAATGTTAGTTTGTAAAACAGCGGGGCTGGAGTCTGCTGGGTTTGCAGGCTTCCGCCTTGTAGGAAGTCTGGGAGGCTCAGAATTTCCAATTCTTTCACCTTAGAGCCCTCTTCGCCCAGGCAAAACCACCCAGTAACTTGGCTCCCACAGCCTGAGCAGGTACGCGGACGGCGGGGAGCGGAGGCGTGCGCGGTCCTTCCCCCGTTGGATTGTGAGAGTTTTGGATGGGTTTTCCGGCAAAAGCGTTTATCTTTCCTCTCTCAGCGGCAGTTGTGCCTCTGTGGGTGAGAAATCTAAGGCAAATCAGAACTTTCCTACCCTGTACCCTCCTCCCCCATGTCATCGTGTACTGTATCATTAAACGGTTTGAGGTGAGTCCTTGAAGGAGGACCGGAAGACGTTCGTCTCTGCGGTAGCAGGGGACTGATAAACGTGGGCAAATATGTGGTGATACAACGTACAGTTTGTTATTTTTCTTTTGCAAAGCTTATATTTTTCAGGTGTCAAGTTACTTTCACCTGTGAGCTCATATGCTCTTGGGAGTGTCAGCTGCTCTTGTCTGGTAATCTATTATGAAATTGTCAAGAGCCAGGCCCCAGTCTATGACCCTCCCATCAAGTTTAGGGGAATTATGCGTGTGTATTTGTTTCCCAGGTGTGCCAAATACCACCAAGTAAGTGGCTTAAAACAATTGTAATTTATTCTCACCGTTGAGGAGTCTAGGAGTCTGAAATCAAGGTGTTTGCAGTGCTTGGCTCCTTCTAAAGGTTCTAGGAAAGAATTTCCCTTGCTTCTTCCTATCAAAGATGCTTGCAATTTTTAAAATTCTAGCTTATAGTTACATTAGTCTCTGCCTCTTTCATTACATGACCTCTATTCCTCTGTATCTATGGTGTTTTTACATGATTTCTTTTTTTTTTTTTAAAGATTTATTTATTTATTTGAGAGAAAGAGAGAGAGACTGACTTCAGGGAGAGGGTCAGAGGGAGAAGGAGAGAGTTCCCTGCAGACTCAGTGCTGAGTGAAGAACCTGACATGGGGCTCGATCTCATGACCATGAGATCAGGACCTGAGCCAAAACCAAAAGTCAGATGCTTGACCAACTGCACCATGCAGGTGCCCTTGTGTGGCTTTCTTGTAATGACACCAGTCATTGGATGTAGGGCTCATTGTAATCTAGTATGACCTTGTCTTAACTGGGTTACATCTGCAAAGACTATATTTTCAAATATGGTCATATTCACAGGTGCCAGGGATTAGAACTTGAAAATATTTTTTAGGGACACAGTTCAACCTACAACAATGAGACATCTAAGTGTAGAGAGCTTCAGACAATAGAGAACAAATGCTATTCTATATTAATTTTGTCAGTTTATGAGACAACTCCCATGGTCAAGCATACAGTTTTTTGGGTTTTTTTTTTTTACAGAGAAAGCATTGTCCTGAGTTTTAATCAGCTTTGGAGGGAGAGAGGAGTAGAAGAATGAAAACCTAAGACCTGTCCAGTCTGTACTTTTTTCTCAGCTTGACTTTGGTGCTATCTTGATATTTTTCTGTGGATACCCTGGGCCTAGGATATTATTTCTATAGAAATAATGATAAAGGGCATTTATTACCTCAAAAAATGGGGGAAAGATAAGAACAAAATTTTAAACTTTTCTAAAGAAATTCTCTTATTCCTGCTACTGTCTCTTTCTCTTTAGTCCCGTCCTAAATGCCCATACCTAAATCAGCCTTCAACCACCTATAAGATTTCTTACAGTTTTTTTTGTTTGTTTGCTTATTTTTAAATTTTTTATTGGCAGTTGTTGTTAGGAATGTTATTCTCCATTTTATAATTCTGTAGAGCTGATTTTGGGACTCACCATCTTCATGGCAATTGATAATCCTGCCATAATTTTTAATCTGAAATCTTAATGTTTTATCCTCAGGAAAGAATACAATTTTTTGATCTATCATTTGGAAGTGAAGTAAGATAACAAAATGAAGCCAGCGCAACATCTCTTAGCCTCTAGTAAGAAATGGGCAAATGTTCCAGAATTCACTTACCAAAAAGGACTATTTAATTTACCATTGTCACCTAAACCGAAGGAAAAACGTAGTGCAAAATTTGTACGTGATAAACTTGAACCAATGGTCTTAGGATCTCCACCAACAGGGGAATCCATTGTAAGGTATGCTTTGCCCATTCCGTCAAATAAAACAAAGGAGTTAATAGCAGAAGATGAATTGATCAGGAAAATTACCAAACATCTGAAGATGGTAAGACACTTGTTGGTCCCTGTGTTTGGGGTTCCCATGACTAGTGCTAGGCTTAGTGATTTGTTAGGAAGGTGCACTAAACTCAAAATATAGCCCTACTGATGGCTAAGATTTATTACGGTGAAAAGATACAAAGCAAAATTAGCAAAAGGCAAAGGCTTATGGTGTGAAGTATGGAGGAAACTAGGTCCAAGGTTCCTCTTCCTTCAAAGTCACACAGTATGTGCCTAATTCCTCCAACAGCAAATACGTTATGACGACATATGTGAAATGTCTATTGGAGAAGCTCATTAGAGGCTCAGTGTTCAGGGTTTTATTGGGGTTGCTCATGTAGGTGCTTTGCCTAGCACGTACAGAAATTCCAGACTCCCTGAAGGAAAGCAGATGTTTAGCATGAACCATATTGTTTGTGCAAAAAAGTTTAGGGACATTGAGCCACTGTTATCAGAGATGATGGGAACACTGCTAAAATCCAAGTGCTGAGACTCCAGTCCAATGCCAGCCTTGCAAGCAGATCTTTCTAATGATAGACATTTCTGAGTCTCATTCCTGCTATGCTAACGCTTCTCAGCACTTTAGAAACTTTAGCTCTTAGTGTTGGGGAAAAAAAATTTCCTTTTCTCTGAGTTCTTCTTTGCACAATGATCCAGAATTGTGAATTAACCAAATACCAAATGAGAACAATGAGGAGCAGTACAAATATAAAAAGAATATAGCTTGTCAAATTTCCAAAATATAAATTTCCTCAAGGTTTGAGGCATTAGCTCAGAGAATTTCCTTTAAAATGTTATTGCTCTCTGGTTTCCATTTCTATTTTGCCCAGTTCTCTTTAAAGAAGGAAGTTGAGTCAGTCAGATTTTGAGGAATACTTTGGTGATAAGTGGAGTCGATGCTTCACCTATTTATAGTCTCTTACTTGCCTGTCACCATAGAAACAGAAGTTGTAGGGACTCTCTCCATTCCTAGGGAGTAGAGTTGAGGACTGTTTCTCATAATTTCTTTATGGTAATATGAGATGGGGTGTGAGATGAAAAATGGAACTGGCAGAAATAAGTCTTACTTCTAAGAAGGTCCTGACATGTTTGATTAAATGTCTTTTTACATTTAATATAATTTTAAACTATAAAAATACTTAACTTGCTTTGATTCACTCACAGATTGTTTCTACTTTGGAAGAAACCTATGGATTTGACATTCAAAATAGAGAAAAATTAGTTGTGAAGCCTGAAAATGAAGAATTAACTTTTTCGGTTAGTATATGTAACCCTAATGTAGAGACATTAACAGCTGATATCAAAGCTGTTATCATTAAAGCTGATATCAGCTTTCTTAGGTTAAGATTTTCTTTTGGATTCCATTTATGTTCTCAGAATGAATTCCCCATCCATGAAAATGATTCAGTTAGGGAACTTGAAAGTAGAGTGCTTATTTTTCTATTCTTTGCCACCACTTATCTTAAAGTTTAATTAAGACATATCTATATTTTAAACCCACTTTTATTGTTAATGCCTATTCTATTTAATTTTTAAACATTTGGTTGCTTGTTGGTTTGAGATGTATATACTTTCTGTGTTAAGAAAGTATCCTATTTCTATTTTGCTAAAAAAACTAAGAAGTTAATTGAGTTTTAACAAATCCCTGGTATATATTGAAGTTATGTAACTATTAAGGTGATTAAGTATGTGGATCTCCTATAGTCTATTGAGGAGATGAATGTTTTTACACATTTCATAATATTCAACTATTTTAATACTTAATTACTTTTCTTAGTAATATTTCTTGAATAATATTCAACTGTATTTTAATACTTAATTACTTTTCTTAGGGGTTGAGTTTGGCCCCATGTCATAGATTGTTGTATCTTTTAATTCATGAACATGGTATGTCTCTCCATTTATTTAGATCTTGTTTGATTTCTTTTATCACCATTTTATAATTTTCATCATATAGATCCTATACATGGTTTGATATATTTATGGATTTGTATCTCATGTTTTTTGGAATGATTTTTTTAAAAGATTTTATTTATTTATTTGACAGACAGAGATCATAAGTAGGCAGAGAGGCAGGCAGAGAGAGAGAGGGGGAAGCAGGCTCCCCGTTGAGCAGAGAGCCTGATGCGGGGCTCCATCTCAGGACCCTGAGATCATGACCCGAGCCGAAGGCAGAAGCTTAACCCACTGAGCCACCCAGGCGCCCCATTTTTTGGAATGATTTTTAATGGCATTGTTTTTAATTTTAGTTTCCACATATTTATTACTAGTATATAGAAAAATGATTGATTTTTATATGTTGATTTGGTATCTTGCAATCTTGTTGAAAGTACTTTTTCGTTCTAGTTTTTTATAGATTTCTTGGAATTTTTTACATAGGTAATTATATCATCCTCAAATAGAGTCAGTTTTACTTCTTCCTGTCCAGTCTGAATGCTTTTTATTTCCTTTTCTTGTGCTGGCTTTGGCTTCCAGTATTATATTTAATGATAGTGATGAGAGCAGATATCTTTGACTCATAATGACTACTACTTCCAGATAGGAATGGGAGTTCAGTTCCCTACTTGGTTTCACCAGCACAACTCTGATGGGGGAATTGGAGGGCCAGTTTTCACTGCCACATTATTTTTCAGCTCTACTGACACATATGGGTAGTGTTGCAGTTTTTTTTCTTGGGGTTTGGCTCAAATAGGATAGGTATTCAAAAAATTTTTGGATTATGCTAATGACCCTTTTCATGGTCCTTTGGCTTTTCTTTCGTTTCTTTCTTTCTTTTTTTTTTTTTTTAAAGATTTTATTTATTTATTTGAGAGAGAGAGAGCGTGAGTAGGGCAGAGGGAGAGAGAGAGAAGCAGACTCCCTGCTGAATAGGGAGGCTGATGTGGGGCTCAGTCCTGGAACTCTGGGATCATGACTTGAGCTGGAGGTAGATGCTTAACTGAAAGAGCCACTGAGGTGCCCTCTTTGGCTTTTCTTAAGGCATTTTTTTTTTTTTTTTTAAGTCTGTGCTAATTGGAAGTTCCAGGTTCTAGATTTTATATGCGGGTAAAAAGAAAGCCTAAGGAATTCATGTATTCTTCCAGTTTGAGAACTCTGCCTTTCTCTTTCTACGTTTCAGAAATTTCCTGTGTTGGTTTGTTGTGTTGTCTATGGTATTTTAGTTGCAGGAGGGAGGATTAGAGGAATGGACCTAGTCCATCATGGCTAGAACAGGAAGTTCAAAATTATTTTTTTATTTTTGATACAGTTCTGTATTCTTATGTCTCCTTTATCTGATATCAGCTTTCTTATGATTAGTCATTGTGTGTTATATCTTCTTTCCAATTTTATTTTCAAACTATTTACTGTACCTCTTTGAAATAGCATATAGATGAATCTTATTTTTTATCCAGTCTGACAGTGTCTATCTTTTAATGGGTTTAGTTCATTTATGTTCAATTGATAACAATTAAATGTATTGCCATGTAATTATTATAATGAAACGTTCATGAAACGTGACTCTTAATGTGAGTTAAGTCTACTTTCCTGCTATTTGCTCTCTTTTTGTCTCATATCTTCCTTGCTCCTTAACTCTTTTCTGTTTTATTTTGGGTTAATTATGTATTTTTTAGCATTTCATTTTATTTTCTTGGTTTTTAGCAATTTTTTTTGTGCTTGCTCTGGGGATTCATTATATATTTATCACAGTCTATCTTGAATTAATATTATATACTTCATTTCTCATGTAAGAACTATGTAACAGTAAATAACATTTATCTCACTTATGTTACACTATTATTGTTATATTATTGTTTTCCTATTTTTTTCCAACTGCTTTAAAGATTTTATCTTTGGGTTTCAACATTGATATAAGATATACTTAGCTGAGCTTTTCTGTATATTCTGTTTACAGTCCATCAAGCTGATTCTGTGAGTTGATGTTTTTCAACAAATTTGGAAATTTTCATTCATTATTTCTTTAGGTATTTTACTGCCTCTCTGCTCCTTTTTTTTTTTTTAAGATTTTATTTATTTATTTGACAGAGATCACAAGTAGGCAGAGAGAGAGAGAGAGGAGGAAGCAGGCTCCCTGCTGAGCAGAGAGCCCGATGTGGGGCTCGATCCCAGGACTCTGGGATCATGACCTGAGCCGAAGGCAGAGGCTTTAACCCACTGAGCCACCCAGGCGCCCCTCTCTGCTCCTTTTTTATGAGAGTTTAATTATACATATATTAGACAGCTTGATACTGTGTAAGAAGTCACTCATACTCTCTTCATTTATTTCTTTTCTTTTTCTGTGCTTCAGTTTGGGCAATATATATTATCCTATCTTTATTTTTACTAGTCCTTTCTGTGGTGTCTGATCTGCTGTTAAGTTTAATCCAATGAAATTTTTATTTCAAATATCATAATTTTCACATTTAGGATTGTCTTTTGGTTACTTTTTAGGGGGTTTTATATTTCTTCTGCTATTATCCACCTCTTTATGTAGTCTATCTTTTTTTCCTGAAAATGCTTTTATCAGTCACAGAGTTTTAAAAGTTTTTGTCTGGTAATTTCCAGTATCTGGGTTATCAGTGTGTTTACGTCTACTGTTTTTTTCTTTTGATTATGGATTGTATTTTCCTGGTTCTTCATATTTGTATTTTTTTTTATTAGTTCTCAAGTATTAGATTTAGAAAAACATTGAAAACTGTAATACAATGTTTATTTTCTAGAGAATGCTTACCGTTTCCTTTCTGGCATTTAGGGTGAAGAGCTAATAATTCTCATTTCTACAAGAGTTGATTTGAGCAGGAACTGGTCCCTATTTTAATTAAGTTAAGATCTTGTCTGATTTGTCTAACCCATAATCTCTCCTATTGCTGCTTCCCCTGAGGGGCTGATTTCTTTGATATTGCCAGTATTTTAGCTGGCAAGAGTTTGAACTCTGATTTTAAATAGGTTCAATCCTGACAGAGCTTCAAAATACAATTACCACAGAAACATGCAGGATGAGATTCCTCTGTTTCTTAGTTCCTGCTTTTTATAGCTGTGTAAAGGCCAGTCAAACCTTAAAACATTTTCATTATCCCCAAAAGCCTCCTTGTATTCCTTTTATAGTCAATTCTCTCCTTCCCTGGTTCCAGACAACCACTGATTTATCACTGTACTTATGCCTTTTTCTAGAATGTCCTGGAAATAAAATCATATAATATGTAGCCTTATGTATCTAGACTTCCCTTCCTCATCATTATGTTTTTGAGATTCATCCATGTTATTCTATGTATCAGTTGTTTGTTTCTTTCATTGTGAACAATATTTCATTACATGGCTATACTACATTGTCGATCCATTTATCAGTTAATAAACATTTAGGTCATTGGATCCAGTAGCTATTTTGGCTGTTATGCATGAAATGAAGTTTCTTTTTTTTTTTTTTCCAGTTTAAGTTCAATTAGCCAACACATAGCACATCATTAGTTTCAGATACAGTGTTCAACAGATTATCCATTGTGTATAACACCCAGTGCTCATCACATCACGTGGCCGCCTTAATCCTGTCACCCAGTTACTCCATCCCCCCACCCACCTCCCCTTCAGCAGTCCTTAGTTTGTTTCCCATAGTTAAGAGTCTGTCATGGTAAGTGACTCTTAATCTCACAAAACAAACTGAGGGTTGCTGGGGGAAGGGGGTTTGGGAGAGGGGGGTGGGGTTATGGACATGGGGAGGGTATGTGCTATGGTGAGTGTTGTGAAGTGTGTAAACCTGGCGATTCACAGACCTGTACCCCTGGGGATAAAAATACATTATATGTTTATAAAAAAAATACATTATAAAATGTAACAACAACAAAAAAAGAGTCTCTCATCGTTTGTCTCCTTCCCCGATTTCTTCCCATTCAATTTTCCCTCCCTTCCCTTGTGGTCCTCTGTACTGTTTCTTATATTTCACAAATAAGTGAAACCATATGATGATAATTGTCTTTCTCCAACTGACTTATTTCACCAAGCATAAAACCTTCCAGTTCCATCCAGGTTGATGTAAATGGTAAGTATTCATCCTTTCTGATGGCCAAGTAATATTCCATTTTATATATATCTTCTTTACCCATTCATCTGTCAAAGGACATCTTGGCTTCTTCCCCATTTTGGTTATCATGGACATTGCTGCTATGAACGTTGGGGTGTAGGTGCCCCTCTGTATGAATGAAGTTTCAATGAACATTTGTGTGCAAATCTTTGTGAGGACATATGTGTTTATTCATCTTGGATAATTGCTTTGGAATAAGATTAGTGAGTTTTAAGTGTATGTTTAATTTTCTGAGGAATTGCCAAATTACTTCCCAACATGGCAAAACCATTTTATGTTCCTACCACCTCTCTGGGAGAGTTTCAGTGGCTGTGCATCCTTCCCAAAATTGGTATTGTCAGACTTCTTAATTCTGACCATTCCTAGGGAATGTAGGCCTCTTTTATTGCCACATTTTTGGCAAAATTCAGATGGGGAAGCATTTGACAGAAGAAAAATGGTTGGGTTAAGTGATTTACCTTGGGAGTGTTTCTCATTCCAGTGTATCTGCTGGCCTAAATGGCTGTCAAGGTCTCATCTGGTTTTTCTTCATCCTCTAAATTCTGTTTGTCAGTGGTAGGCCTGCTTTTTGACTTGGCTGACTTGGCACACTTTGCACACACTAGACCAAGTGCTCTTCTGTCTCCACCATGCTCCCTTTAGATATGGATATGGCTTTTGTTCTTTTCTTATCTATAAAGTGTTCTTCTGTGGAATTCAGTTTGTCCGATTTTTATCCTATCCTCTACTTTTCAGTATCCTCAAGGAAAGGGATGATAATTATATAACTTTATGTATTTTTCCTTTCTGGATGTTTAATTTTTCTTTTTTTAAGTGTGTTTTTTTTTTTTTTTTTTAAATATGAGAGAGAGAGAGCGAGAGAGAGCACAGCAAGGGGAGGAGCAAAGAGAGAGGGAGGAGAGACCCCGCACTGAGCAGAAGGGGTCAATCCTGGGACTCCGGGACCATGACCCGAGCTGAAGGCAGAGGTTTAACTGACTGAGCCACTTAGGTGCCCCATTCTTTCTGGATGTTAACACCAAAATAAACACTCTCATACCTTTTCACATTATAATCATAAAAGGCATTTCAGCTTCCCTTTGAAGATCTTTTTAGGGGTGCCTGGTGGCTTAGTCGTTAAGTGTCTGCCTTCGGCTCAGGTCATGGCCCTAGGGTCTTGGGATTGGGCCTCTTGTTGGGCTCCCTGCTCTGTAGGAAGCATGCTTCTCCCTCTCCCACACCTCTGCTTGTGTTTCCTCTCTTGGTGTGTCTCTGTCAAATAAATAAATAAGATATTTTAAAAAAAAGATGTTTTTAGAAGTCCTGCTCAAGAATTTTTTTTGGTCTCATTGGCCTGATTGGGACACATGGCTACCCTTATTGGTAAAGGAGGCTGGAAAATTTTTTATTATTATTATTATTTATAGATTTTATTTATTTATTTGAGAGAGAGAGATTGAATATGAGTGGTGTGGGGCAGACAGAGAGGAAGAAGCAGAAGGAGAGGGAGAAGCTCCCCTTTGAGCAGATAGCCCAACACGGGGCTTGATTCCAGGACCCTGGGATCATGACCTGAGCTGAAGGCAGACACTTAACTGAGCCACCCAGATGCTCCTTACTATTATTACTAGCTATGCACATTGGCATCCTCAGTAAAATTAAGGTCCTGTTAGTAGGCAAAGAATAATTATTTAGGAAAATAATTATATGTGGTCTATTATATATGATATATATGATATGGTCTAATATTATGTAATGGTCTATTATAATGACCATTATCATACTATTATAATAGTATAAGTGATACTATTATAAGACTATTATATACTTGTCTCACAACACTGTTGTCATAAATTTTGATGATTTTGATATCCATGTGGATGATCTTTGCAAATAATCCAGCATCTCAGTTTGTTGAATTTCTTTGCTCCAGTGGTCTTGTCTTCTATCCTCTAGATAGAAGATAATATCCTCTAGTCTTTGTAAATAACCAATAACTTTTCCATAATTTAAGTTTCAATCATCTTAATCTTTTGTCACTACCTTTTATCTTTCCCACTTAGTGTGTTTAATATTCTGGCTCCAAAATCCTTTGATTCCATTTGGAACTATAATCCATTCGTTTTACTGCCTTTTACTGTCCCAAATCCTCCTTGTGGTTTTACCTAGCTTAAATTCCATGTTCCATTATTATTATTGCTTCCGTGCATATTCTTCCCCTGCTGTGCTGTATTGATTTTATTTTGTTAAATTGCAACCGTGATCAAATCAATCACCATCTTCTCTATATTTGTGGCATCTGAATGTGAGTAGAAGAAAATCCCTAAGTATGCTTATAGTCTCATTTTACATTTATTTTTAGGAAACCTAGTTCATTCATTTTCCCACTCTCCTGAATGACTAATTCAGTTTTTCCTCTTCTCCTATATGGGTATAAGTCATTATCATGACAAAAAAAAAGTGTATCTGCCTGTGAATATGTTTTAAAATGTGATGTTGAATGAACATACTCCTTATGGAGAACATTCTAAGAATCCTAACTGTATATAAACATCTGAGATTTGTCTATCATAGGTTGTTTCTGATTTACAAATCACTGCTCTACTAGAAAAGATTCAGTCATTGTGATATTTTCATCTGTCACTATTTTTTCCTCAAAGTGTTCATTTGCCCATTGAATGAGGGTAAAAGACTATAGCTCTTGGCAAGTATACTTATATTCACAAGTCATAATGAGCATTCATTTTCTACCACGGAGAGATATTTCTAAGGTATATACAGAGTGGCTTCCTTTTTTTGGGTACTGATAAATTTCAGGAGCCTAAATCTGGGATGCTTGATTCTTTGCAGCAGTGCAGGGGAGAATAAGAGGCATAGCTGGATGTATGTCATTCAGAGGCCACTCCCCAGAATGTACTGTCTTCCACTTTCTGGGAGAATTTGGTAGTAGAACATTTGGAGTATGATTTCTTGTGTTATATGTTTGAAGGGACATAAATTATAGGCAAAAAATATTTTCCCAAATAATTAAGATATATTATAATATAGGTGGGGATCATATGGATTCTGAAATAAAACTAATTTTGTTTTGTTATTCTTTTCAAAAGGTTGGGGATGATCTGAATTCATTCTTGGTATGTTGTTCACAATTTGCAGCTCAGTTAGAAGCAGCAGCTAAGGAAGAACGTAATGTATGTGTTCTGTGTAAAATGTCAAGTATAAGATATTTAATATTTTAATGATTTTAATTATTAGTAATGTTGATAATATTTTGTATTAATTTTATATTAATTTACTAAAATCATTGTTATTAATAATAATTTTAGCAATACAATATTTAAAGCTACATTGGTTGTTTGAACTTGAATGTGATAATTTATTTAACAGTATTAGTCTAGATACCATGCCTTAAGGAGTTATAAAAGACATTAGAAAGTATTATCTATTTTTTTATTCTTAATGTAGGCATTTAGGTCTGTGAATTTTCCTTTAAGTACATCATTGATTGAGTCATTAGTATTTTCATATTTACAAATGAAAATATAGTATTAATATTTATATTTTAGTGTTTTTAAACATTTTTTATTTAAATCCAATTTAGTTAACATATATTGTATTATTACTTTCAGCGGTAGAATTTAGTGATTCATCAGTTGCATATAACACCCAGTGCTCATTACATCAGGTGCCCGCCCTAATGCCCATCTCCCAGTTGCCCCATTCCCTCACTCACCACCCCTCCAGCAACCTTCAGGTTGTTTCCTATAGTTACGAGTGTGTTAGGGTTTACCTTCCTCTGTTTTTATATTATTTTTTCCTTCCCTTCTCTTGTGTTCATCTGTTTTGTTTCTTAAATTCTGCGTATGAATGAAATCATATGGTATTTGTCTTTCTCTAACTTATTTTGCTTAGCTTATGCTAAGCCAGTTCCATCCAGACAAGGTAATTTATATTACAAAAATAATATGTCATAATTAATGAAAATTTCAAAGAAGACATGCATAAAGAAAACAAAAATTAACATAATCCTATTTCCCCAAGATAACCAACTATTGTTAACATATTTTTATTTCCCTTCCTGATTTTCCAAAGTTATAAAGATTTAGAAAAAATGAAATAATATTGTACATATTATTTGGTAATACACTTTTATTACTTTTTGATTTTTGCAAAATAGTATTTATTGTGTCTTATCTGATTGTAAACATTACCATTATTTTTTAAAGATTTATTTATTTTGAGAGAGTGCATGAGTGGGAGGTGGGACAGAGGGACAGGGAGAGAGAATCTTAAGCAGACTACCCACTGAGCACAGAGCCTGACTTGGGGGCTGGATCTCAAAACCCTGAAATCATGACCCGAGTTGAAACCAAGAACTGACTGAGTCACCCAGGTGCCCTTGATTGTAAACATATTATTGTGTAACATTTGAAATTGAGGAAAGTAAATAGGAAAATAAGTTTCCTGTGATCTCAAATCTAGTACATATGCACCATTAACATTTTAGAATATGTTTTCTAGTGTGCTCTGAGTGTGTATATACACACACACACATATATACACATACACATATAGACACACACATATATATGCACACACTTGTTGTGTATGTCTGTATATGTACATTCATTTATATGTACATTGATATATGTCTTTTCTAATTTTTTATTGCAAAATACACATACTGTACAACTTACTATATTAACCATTTTTAAGTGTACAGTTCAGTGGTATTAAACACATTAATATTGTACAATGATCATGTCTGTCGGTCTCAGAACTCTTTTCATCTTGCAAAACTGAAACCATATGCATTAAACAGTAACTCCTTATGACCCCTTACCAGAGCCCCTGGTAACCACTGTTCTACTCTGTGTTACTAGGAGTTTGGCAGGCTTCTCTCTCTTTTTCTTCCTTTCTTTCTTTCTCTCTCTCTCTGTCTCTTCTTCCCTTCTTTCTTTCTCTCCCCCCCCCTTTGTCTCTTCCTCCCTCCCTTCCTTCCTTCCTTTCTAGATCCACAGGTAAGAGAGATCATGCAATATTTATCTTTTTGTGTCTGGCCTATTTCATTTAACATAAGGTCTTCCAGATTCACCCATGTTGTCACAAATGGCAGGACTTCCTTCTTTTTATAACTGAGTAATATTTCTGTGTGTGTGTGTGTGTGTGTGTGTGTGTGTGTGTATTACAATTTCTTTATCTAGTCATCCATCCATGGATACTTAGATTGTTTCCATGTCTTGGTTATTGTGAATAATGCTGCAGTGAACATGGGAGTGCAGGTATTTCTTTGAGACACTAATTTTGTTTTCTTTGGATATATGTCTGGAAGTGGGATCACTAGATCATATGGTAGTTCTGTTTTTAAATTATTGAAGAGTCTTCATACTGTTTTCTATAGCTGCTGTACCAGTTTCCCTTCCTACCAACGGAGCACAGGATTCCCTTTTTTCCAAATCTTTGTCAACGGTTGTTTTCTCTTTTTGATAATAGCCATTTAACAGGTGTGAGGTAGCATTTCATTGTGATTTTGATTTGCATTTCCCTGATGATTGGTGATGTCGAGCCGCTTTTCATGTACCTGTTGGTCATTTGACGTCTTCCTTGGAAAAAAATGTCTTTTGCCCATTAAAAAAAATTTTTTTTCGCTATTGAGTTGTATTAGTTCCTTACATATTTTGGATATTAATCCCTTATCAAAATATATGCTTTGCCAATATTTTCTCTCTTTCCATAGAATGCCCTTTTCATGTTGTTGATTGTTTCCTTGACTAAGCAGTAACTTTTTAGTTTGAGGTAGTCCCACTTACTTATTTTTGCTTTTGTTAAACCTTTGCTTTTGATGTTCATGAAACCATTGTCAAATCCAAAGTCCCGAAGTTTTTATTCTGTCCTCTTCTAGGCGTGTAATAGGTTTAGATCTTATATGTAGGTCATGGGTTTACTCTGAGTTAATTTTGTAATAGTGTAAGTGGTGTAAGTGTCCAATTTTATCTTATTTTTTTGCATGTGGATATCCAGTTTCCCCAGTGGTATTTGTTGAGAAGATTCTACTTTCCCCATTGTCTTGGTACTCTTACCAAAAATTATTTTGCCATATGCAGAGGTTTATCTCTGATCTCTCAGTTTTGTTCTATTGTCGCTTTATATTTAAAATTTTTTATTTTTTATTGAAGTGTAATTGACACAATGTTACATTTGTTTCAGGTTACTTTTTATTTTAATTTTTGAAAATCGAGATGTAATTGAACTGTGATATAATAAACTATATCAGTTTTAGGTGTTAGGTATGTATATATCTTTATGCCAATAAGGTGCTTTCTTTATTACTGTTGCTTTGTAGTATATTTTGAAATCAGGATATTTGAAGCCTCCAGCTTTTTCTTTTTCAAGATGTTTTTGGTATTCAGGGTGTCTTGAGATTCCATGTGTATTTTAGTATGTTTTTTTCTATTCCTGCAAAATAGTCCATTGACATTTCTATAGGGATTACATTGAATCTCTAGATCACTTTGGATAGTATGAATTTTTTAACAATATTAAGTCTTTGAATCCATGAGCATGGGATGTTCTTTCCATTTATTTGTATCTTTGATTTCTTTTAGCAGTGTTTTCTAGCTTTCTGTGTATATATCTTTCACCCCCTTGGTTAGGTTTATTCCTAAATATTTTTAGATTTTTTTTTTTCTAAAATTTATTTGACACAGAGAGAGAGACATCACAAGTAGGCAGAGAGGCAGGCAGAGGTGGAGGGGGAAGCAGGCTCCCCGCAGAGCGGAGAGCCCAATGTGGGGCTAGATCCCAGGACCCTGAGATCAGGACCTGAGCCGAAGGCAGAGGCTTAACCCACTGAGCCACCCAGGCGCCCCTAGATTTTTGATGTTATAGTAAATGAGATTGCTTTCTTAATTTTCATTTTGGATTGGACATTGTTAATATATAGAAATATAACTGATTTTTGAGTGTTGATTTTGTGTCCTGTAATTTTGCTGAACTTATTAGTTCTAACACTGTGTGAGTGTGTGTGGTGCGTGTATGTGTGTGTATTGTGTGTAATCTTTAGGGTTTCCTACATATGAGATCATGTCATTTGCAGACAGGGACAATTTTTTTTTCCATTTTGTATGACTTTATTGTTTTTTTCTTTTTAAATTTCTCTGGAACTTCCAGTACTATGTTGATAGTGCTGGTGAGATGGGCAGATTTGCCTTTTTCCTGATACTAGAGAAAAATCTACCAGTCTTTTCCCAGTGAATATGCTCTTTGCTGTGGCCTGTTTATATAAGGATTTTTATTTTGAGTTAGTTTTCTTGTTTATTGAGTTTTTTAAAATCATGAAGGAGTGTTGATTTTTAACAAAAGCTTTTCCTCCATCTGTTGAGATGATCCCGTGGTTCTTGTTCTTCATTTTGCTTATGTGGTGTATTATATTGTTTCATATTATTACAAATAGTGAGCCAGGCTTGTGTTCCAGATATAAATCCTTTTTTGGTTTTACTGTGTGATCCTTTTAATGTGTGTGTGTGTTTTTTTTTTATAAAGTAGGCTCCACGCCCAGCATGGAGTCCAACACTAGGCTTGAACTCATGATCATTAAGACCGAGACCTGAGCTGAATGTGTAACTGACTGAGCCACCCAGGTGTCCCTTAATGTGCTTTTGAATTCTTTTTGCTAGTATTTTTGCATCATTTTTTCCCCTTTTCTATTAATTATTCATTAATTTATATTTATGTAAATAAATATAAATTTATTAATTATAATATGATTATAAAATTTAAATTATTAAACATAATATATAATATAGAATATTTATATATTAAATTATTAAAAGTATAATATAAAAATAATATAATCATTTATTTGTGTTAATCAGGAATATTGGTCTGTAGTTTTCTTGTGCCTTTTTTGGTTCCGATATCATGATAATGCTGGCCTTATGCAGTTGGTTTTGGAATTTTCTCCTTTCTGATTCTTTGGAAGAGTTTGAGAAGTGTTAGTGTTAATTCTTTTTCTTTCTTTCTTTCTTTCTTTTTTTTTTTTTTTAAAGATTTTATCTATTTACTTGAGAGAGAGAGCGAGAGAGAGAGCATGAGAGGGGAGAGGGTCAGAGGGAGAAGCAGACTCCCTGTCAAGCAGGGAGCCCGATGTGGGACTTGATCCCAGGACTCCAGGATCATGACCTGAGCTGAA